ACTACTTACGTTCTATTTATTCCTAAAAAAATTCAGAACAGAACAAGGCCAGAATTGTATACATTTTACGTCATGTAAGTTTTAAATAACTAAAAATCTATATGTCTAAAATAACCGAATCCATGTAAACCTGACTACAATTCATCATCATCAGCTCACAATACGTCCCCACCGAGGGGCTCGGAGTCTACCCTAAGTTAAGGGTGATTAGGCAATAGTCAATCTTTGAATTTCTTCTCAGATATTTGCAGGATGCATCACGATGTTTTCCTTCACTATAAGAACGTCAGATAAATGTACATATGTAAATCGGAAATAGAAAAACACATTGGTACATGGCGGGATTCGAACTCAGGACCTGCAGATTGTAAGTCAAGTGCTTGACCACTGAGCCACCGACACTCTCAGCTATTAGTGTTCAATTCTGTAACAATACAAGGTCATCGCGTGCAATAAGAATATTTATAAAACACGCAATAACACACATTTTTTTAAATCTTTTCATTACAGCATTTATCTGATTGTGTTATGTGTATATAACATAAGATAAAATCAATATGTCACACGATATATAAAAGTTTATATATTTTAAACCGACTTGTATAAACTCATTGTTAGTAATACATTTGTAATACAATGGTATCGTTTAAAGTTTTATGTAGCCTGTTGGTTATGTGTTTTATTTTATGCCGTGGCGATAATATGCTTGTAAGTGTTGGTCATTAATTAATTTTTTTTATACACTAAATCAGTCTTTCCCAAAGTGAGCGATAACGCTCCCTTGTTGGCGCTGTAGGTCTCAAGGGTAAGAGTCCCAGAAAGAAAATGGGGGCGTTGTGTATAGGCCTGGGGGGTGATTTGTAATTTTATTTAGCTAGGAGGCCTCTTAGACAACGACTGCATGAGCTTTCGACTCTCAACAACAATTTGTGAACATCAACTAATATGAATTAAAAGATTGCTTAAACTCTAATATGGGGAATAGAAAATAAGTTTGGGAACCATGATGATGAACACGTTGATGTAGATTAAAATAACTAAAATAACGATTAAGCAATTATTTTTTGATAAAATGTAATCCATCTAATTTGGATTATACTCGGCAGGGTAAGGGTCTGATAAGTAATATTATTGACAAGGTAAAGATATAGGATATATAATTTTCTAATAATATTTTTTTGTTTTCAGTTGCTCGACATATGAATAATCTAATCTCCAATTTTCTCTTCTCTTTCTTCCCTCATTTTTTTTCTTCTCTCATAATTAATGTCGTCTTAAGTCCTATTTCTATCTACACAATTATTTATTTTTCCTATTGTACCCAGGGTCCTGGCAAATGGGTGATCGTGAGTATCGACAGATGTGAAGAAGACGAAAAATACCAGACCAACATCGACGTGGACATGCACCGCGCCAACCGCACACACGTCGCCTTCTCCTTCAAAGTGTCCCTCGCTGAGGATTTCGACTACACCGTATCGGTAAGGCACGTTATTGAGTAAATATAATGAACAGAGGATTGAACGTATAGAAAAATATATTCTTTACCTACACGTCCCCTTTCCTGCCAAATCTATCTTACTAATATTATAAATGCGAACGTTCAAATAGATGGATGTTTGTTTGAAGGTATCTCCAGAACGGATCTCGCTGAAATTTGATATAGACGTAGAACATAGTCTGGAAGTTTAATTCCGCGCGAAGGGAGTCGCGGGCGACAGCTAGTTTTATTAATAAATCACGGTCAGGAAGAGAGAGACTTTCCCCGACACATTTGTCCTACAATTCAAACATTTAATTTTGGAAACCTGTTTGCTTCGAGATTCTGGTATACCTAGTCTAAACGTACTTGTAAGGCAAAATTAAGAGACAAGGGCAGAATCGATAGCACTTAACACCTGTCTTGTGTGGGCAATTGTGAGGAATCTAACACTGTAATATGCATATAGCTATGTAGTTTCCGTTATTTACATACAATCTGTAGATACGCATAGACATCTGCAAGTACGTGGACGGGGGCTGCAAGACGTACCAGACGCTGGCAGACGAGAGCGCAATCAACTTCTGTGAGAAGTACGCAAAACAGAACGTTGACGCAGCGTTACAAATGCTCGACATGAATGGATTCCCTTTGCCAGTGGTAAGATAAAATCGAATATTAACAACTATTTTATTCCTCAAAAATATTTAATTTTTGGTTACAACATACATAAAAAACACATAAAACCAGCAATAAGTTCACTATTTGTCCCCACTAAGGGGCTTGGAGCTTACCCTAAGTCAGTAACTAAGCCTTAGTCAACCATAGCCCAATGCGGGTTGACTTCACACATATCTTTAAATTTCTTCTCAGATTCTTCACCGTAAGAAGGTAAGGTATATGTACACAAGTAAATCGAAAAACACATCGATTCATGGCGAGATTCGAACCCAGGACCCATAGATTATACATCAACTGCTTAAACTCATGTAACTAGACTGTAACTGTCATGCAACTAGACTGTAGTTTTTATAATGGTCGCATTTAGTAGCCATTTAATGACTCTGAGTACGGCTGTATGAGTTTGGGCGAGGAATTTGATCGATTATTGTGTGAACAGGGCGACTATGCAGTAGATGACTACATATTCAACGTGGCGGAGTTGCCGGAGAACGCGGTGTACGGAGACTTCGTGGGGAAGGGATATCTTATAAAGCAAGGTGTGGAGTTCTCATGCGTCAAGGTCGCAGCCAACTTTGTCAAGAATGATGATGAAGATGAGGAAGATTGAATTTGTTTAATATATTGATTGACACCTTTCACACTCGTATTTTTCTACTAGTTTGCTGTAGGTAAATAATGTACATAACATAGAAGATATTTTTGTTTCTACTAACAGAGGATTTCTGAGACCAATATCGCTGTATAAAACATATCTGTCATTATCTTTTACAAAAAATATATATAAAATATATTTTAAGAGGGTTTTTAATTTCAGAAATACACGTTAAAATCATTAATTTTAGTGCAATGTACAATTATAGTGTAAACTAGAATAATGTGGCTAAATAATCAAAAGCGTCTCGGAGCGCCCTCTAACGGAAAGTTGTAGTTTCAAAATCCATCAAAGTACGAACCTGACGAGCAGTTCGAACTGATGATGCTGCAGCAGATGCTTGTTGGTGGGCAGCCGGGCGGCCAGGTCCCGCACCAGTGCTGATCGTGCTGCAGGCGCGCGCAATGCACGCAGTACTGCGGGGAACGACTTGCGCGCGTCCGCGTAACGACCCTCAAAGATGGCCGCCACGCATGCACGTAACACCTAAGTACAAATAAATGATAAAGTAACGATAATTAAATCGATAGACTATTACATCTTGTTCTTATGCCAGTACCGTAGTCCAGTAACACACAAAATCAACACTGGAATGCAACTAGCATAATGTATATACAACTGATGCCAGTAAACCCACCCAGTCCGCGTCACGCCAGCGCTACTGTCCTACTGTACTGGCGTAATGTAAACCTAATTTAATAATCATAGTTAGTTTGATGGGTTTTAAAATAAAAAATAGTAAATACTTCAAGTCTTCTTGCAGAGTTGGTCAGCAATAGTTGTCCGGGCTCCTCGCCGCCAGTGGGGGGCGCTGCGGGCGGTACTATCCGCGCCTGCGGTGGCCTTAATGCTGTTAATCTGTAAAAAAATATTTAAAATATTATTACAAATTAACGGTCACTTATGACTTTGTCAGAGCAGAATTAAAAAATAATCTGTAATATGCTTGCATACATAAGTTAGTTTCCCGTGTCCTCAATGTCAGTTCAGGTGTTCCGGGTAATTTTTAGGGTTCCGTACCTCATAGGAAAAAAACGGAAACCTTATAGGATCACTTTGTTGTTCGTCTGTCAAGACCCATTTTCTCTAAAACGCGTAACTAATATCTAAAAGTATGTATCCCGTGTATACTGACTTGGCGTTGTTTGCGTTGCGCTGAGAGACGTCGCGTATGACGTCACGCACGCGGAGCGGGTCGAGCGCGGGCAGCGGCGGCTGGTGGATGCGCGCCTCCGCCCCCGCCGGCGGCCGCAGCACGCGCTGCTGGTACGTCTGCGACACCACCTGGCCACTCGTCTCATCACACGATCACATCGCACACCTCACACCTCACATCCACATTTACATTTATCCGACTCGAAGGACCAACAATTAATTTTTTATGGGGGAAAATTATTTAAAAACTGATTTTTTTTAAATTTTCAACATTTGAGTAAACTCTTATGAAAACTATTAATTGACTAGCTGTCGCTGCAGACTCCGTGCGCGCGGAAATAAAAAAAAATATTAGTAGCCTAAGTGTTCTTCCAGACTATGTTCTATATGTATGCCAAATTTCATTAGATCCGTTCAGTCGTTCTGGTGATACTTTCAAACAAACATCCATCCATCCATCTAAACATTGAAATTTATAATATTAGTAAGATAAATACCTGTGGATTTGGGTTCTCATTGAGATGTAACTGCATGGCCAGGTCCTGTATGTGTTGCAGCTCGATGTCCGGGTTCAGAGATTCTAGTCGGAGTTGCTCCGGTAAATTCCTGAAAATTTTATCATTTGAGTACCAAAATCTATTTATACCATAAATTAAATTTATAATTTTACATTTAACATAAAATTTGTCGTTATATACAGTTGAACTTGAATAAACCAGAAACTTTCGTCTGATTAGTTTGCGTCCCGGAGGCCTAATTTTGTCCTCTTTTTCTTATATGAAAGGATGGGAAGTGGAAGTGGAAGTGGACTTTCCAGATGAGAGGATGCATGGAAAGGGAAAATATTTTCTTTCTGTGCATCCTCTCCTCCGTCGATTAGAGGTAGGCAACGCATATGCAATTGCATATGTCTACGGGCAACGGTCACTTCATTATTTCAGGTGGCTGCTCGCTCGTTTGCCACCTTATGATATAAAAAAAGTTAATCTTTTAAGAAATGTCGTCCGATAGCAGAATTTAATTGTATATACTAACTGCACAAGTTCATCAAATATATCTGTGGGTCTCCATGGCGGGCCGCGCTCCGCCACCAGACCGTTGAAGAACATGGAGTCGAGCAGACGCACGGCGAAGGGGCAGGCGGCCAGACCGCGGCTGCCCAGGAACCCCGCCTTGTGGAACGTCAGCACAGGGGACGGGTGGATGCGGATTATTGTCAAACAGTGTCTGGAAATAAATAAAAACTAATTGTAATTATGTTATTTACAGATATGTTGCTTCGCTATTTCGGCGAATTCAGGTGGTTGCTTACTCGTTTGCCAACTTGTCATACAAAAAAAAATGTATATTATGCCATATATTTCTTTTCTTTCTCGATTCTTTCCCTTGTACTATAGTCTTCTGCCTTGCTAATTAAGTCTTTACGAGCTTACTTTAAAAGCACAATACAATTGAAAGAAAATTAAAAAATTACAAAGCAAAACTTTTACATCGACTTGCTTCTCTACTTTTCAAATTATTTGGACAGAAAGAGAAGAGTTCTATATCGATCTTAGAATATAGAATACTAGAGATCACTAGCAACGTCCATCCATCCATTCATCCATCTTTCGTATTTACAATATTAGTACGATCTTACCTATATCCCTGTAGCAGTTTAGCCAAAGTCCTCATAAACACGGCTCGTATCTCCTTATCTAACATATGTGGGGGCGAGGCCGCGGGCGGTGGTGGGGCGAAGGCCGAGTCCGCGGAGCGCAGCTCGGGCTGTAACACCAGCGCCAGGGCTTCCTGCAGCGAGCCCAGCAACTTGCCCTCCGGCCGGGGGATGTTCACCCCCGCGGGAATGTGCAGCGAACCCACGTCTAAGTCTGCTACTATCACGTCCAACTGGAAATCACAATGAAAATTGATTTGAATTGATGACATATTTGAAATCATCATCTTACACATATTTTTTATTTTGTATCGAGGGGAAAACCTTCTTAAGATATCCCTTTTCGGGGGAAAGAAAGGGTTATGTGAGATTTCTACATACTAAAACCCTCCGCAGTGCCTTAGTGGGACTGTGAGGGTCCAAGATTTCCAATGGAACAATTGCACATCAGCCAAATCTTATCGCATTGTTAACACTCACCAATTCCGACACCTCCTCCTTGAGACTGGAATGCACACCGATAAGGAAGGGCGTCGGTGTTGCCAGCACCTCCGCTAGACCAGCAGGCAACAGTGGTATGTACACGTGGGCGTAGCGAAAGGGGAACATCAACGCTGCGAGAGCTCGACACGCAGCAGACAGCCGGGCGGCAGCTAGCGACACTAGGAGGACCTTGTGCTCACTCATCACCGCACACCATAGTGTCACCGAGTTGTGGATACCTGAAACATGGTATGGATAAAAGATTTTACTCTATTTTTAAAGTATGGTAACCTCGTAGAATCCTATAAAAGAAGAGCAGCCAGTTTTAATCTTTATAATCCAACATAATCTTATCTTTATAAGCACCTTTCAAAATAAATATGTAGCCCAGAATATATGAAAAATATCTACCAATTAATTAAAGTAATTGTAAAATATTTTAACGTTTTGCAAAAGAAAAAAGAAATTCCATTGCCCACATAAGAAATTCATGTATTAAAGAAGCCGAACGATATGCTCCTGGGCCAGGATTTTTATATTCTTGGTTAGGCTATATACGATTACCCAGAACTTTACTGTCCAAAAACCTTGAAACCGTGAAGTCATGTTTGTAATATAAAGATGTGTGCACACATACCCAGCAGGCGCAGTAGCATGTGCACAGCTGTGTGGGTGACTGGCATGGGCGGCGCGGCGGGCGGCTGCAACGCCTGCCGGTCACCCGCTCCTATACTGAAGCGAACCTGCGGCCCGCCCGCACCCGGTACCAGGACGCAGCCGACCAGGTTACCCACCAGCGTCTCCAACGGCACGCCCAGGTTCTCCACCCACACCGTGTAGATTATACCCAGGCAGTTCTGACAACATTACAATGACCTCTATAAATGGACCGGCTATAATACGTACAATTTTGTGCCTATTTAACATTCGCCATTTTTTCGGTGATGGTAACGTCAACAGACGCGATTAAATCAAAACGAAGCAAAAGCTGTCACTTATTAGCAATCGCCTATCCAATGATCTGTGCATACACTATACAACTTGAAATTAATGACAAAAGACAGTAGCTCATTGGCCGATAAAGGAATGAACTGATTCCATTAGGAAAGCTACATATTTCAGAGTGGTATATTTGAGGTGATGATAGACCATTCGCTTAGCATCCGATTATTTGTCATTCGTAATTTATCCACATTTTCAAAGATGACAAAGTTTTCTTACCCTAAAAGTATCGATGTAATCCTGTCGGGATACAATGACGAGACACTTTGGCGCGTACATGATGCTATGGTGGGTGATGTTGGCGACTGGTCGGTTCGACTCCAAGGATTCTTCGTCCTACAAAAAACAAATTTCATATCACTAACATATTAACCTTCCAAGCGTTGCGTGGCTAACAGCTAAATGGGCATATTTCCACTACTCAAATGACAAAAACTGAAAGTATAAACTTTGTAAAAAAATAAACAAAAGGACTTGGCCATTAAACTTATTACGCGTATATAAAGAGTGTAAAAAGTTAACGACTACACCCCAAAAACCCCCTGTCTCCTCAATTTGGGGGGCGATGACGGAATTTCATTAGATGGGCTTGCGCCCGACCCGGGGCCTGCGGAAAGCCTAATGATAAACAATATTGTCGGACGTTGCTAATTTATTGCAGGACCTGCGTTCTTTTTGACGAAACTAGTTGCCTAATGTAGTGAATATTTTTTTGTATCTTGGAAAATAACATACAAGGCAAGGATTGGTGCAACTCTTCGCAGTAGAATTCGCCAGTTAAAATATTTTATACATTTTTAATACTAACAAGATTCATATCTTATACACTAAAAACATGTTTCAAGGTATAGTTTTGAACAATTTCATTGCAACGACCACACGAAAGTATTGACACAGTTAAGCTAACATGAACAGGATCTTATTTCTGAAGTTAGCTCAAATATTTAACAAACAAGCGATAAAAAAAATTAGCTTTCATCGAATTTAAATCGAATTGGCAATTTAATACCTTCTTCTGAACTGTTTCACTAAAAAAACATTGCTATTTTTACCCTACTGACAAAAGGGTTATATTTTTGACAGCCTACAAAATTCTTCTTCCTCGGTCATAGGATATGTAACATCTTCATAAAACACATATAAATATAACAGAACATTAGTTTATAAGCTATAAATAGAACAATAGAATATAAAATGAATTGGCTCCAACATTGGAGCAAACATTTGCCCGGTCTCGTCCTATTAATCAATTTAGTTAGGTTGTTGCCCTCATAATATTTGATATCGGGATATAAATAGACATTATAATATGCCACTTGTATGAGATGCATGGACAGAGGGATGTAGCGTGAATAACGACAGGACAAAACTCATTGTAGATTTTATACATTTAAGGATCTATGCAATAGGAAAGTTTTTTCGTTATTAGTATAGTATTTGGATGGATCTAAAGATAGAGGAAGACCAAAGAATAGATGGATTGTGTGAAAGAGCATGTTCGTAAGATGGAGAAGACAGCTGACAGAGACGTATGGTGGATACGTAGTACGGCTGTAGTGGGTACATATTGTGAAGACAGCCGCGTAGAATCATGGCAGGTTGATGACGAAGAGTATAGTAAATATTTACTATACTATATTAATAATACTTTAGTAATATTGTGTTAATCTTATCAATAATCTCATAGCGCCTAGTCTAGACTCCCACATGTGGGAAATGTGCCAAACGAAATGGAAGCGAGATCAACGATCTTACGACGCCTGCGCCTCGCACACTGACCCCCATAAAATATTTACTGCCGAAATAAAGCCGTCGGTAAATAGTAAACTCATTCATAAACTATGCGCGTACTGATAAATATAAACCAAATATAGACTACAAATTAAATCAACGGTTATACGATACTGCTACACACGTGGCTAACTCAACATAAACAGTGAACGAAACTTTGTAACATTTAAGTTTTTGATTTCTAAATCTACACTGTAGGACTCTAGGTAAGAATTTCTTGATATTACGTCACGAAAAAGGCCCCCTAACACAAATCTTACTCCTCACTAATATTATCACTGCGAATTTGGTTTGGACGGATGGATAGATGTTTTTAGAAGGTAGAACGGCTACATGGATCGTGCTAAATTTGGCATAGATGTAGAACATAGCCTGAAAGAACACATAGGTAACTAATTGCGGACGGAGTCGCGGTCAACAGCTAGTATTTCATAAGATAAAAATGAAATAATCCTGTGTTCTAATCGTATTCATCAGCACAAGACATGTTATACGTCTCCGACATAGTAATTTGTCTCGCTTCCAGACCGGAACAAAGTCGTGTTTACACACTAGTTCATAACGGCAGAACTAGTCGGCACTACCATTCTCTATGGCAATTTATAATAACTTTCCAATAAAGTTCCTATAAGAAGTTTCGATCATCTAGTAAAGGTATGTAGAGTGGAAAGATAGGAAGATCGGTTAAATAATTTATGTAGCACATCTTACTTCTTACTAATAATATAAATTATATTATAAATGTGAATGTTTAGATGGATGTTTGTTTGAAGGTATCTTCAGAAAAGCTACATGGATCAGGCTTAAATTTTGCATAGATGTTGGACATAGCCTGTAAGAACACATAGGATACCAATTAAGTTTTTTCTAATTCCGCGCGGACCGAGTCGCGTCACAGCTAGTATACTATATGTTTTCTTCAAAAGAAATTCAGATGAAATCAAAGTCTAAAGAGATTCCTCTCTTTGTATGAGGGTTGATTTGGAATTACTGCGCCATCACTTCCGGTACGGAAGTAAGTCGCCGGCATGCTACGGCGAAATATTTTCAGGTGAGAAATAAAAACAAAAAATACGTATACATTGAACAAAACGCAAAAAGTTGGTTTTGTTTACTTTAGTAGATAAATAAAATGTATTTATTATTCTCAAGGCGATCTATTTATGTAAACTAATTCAAGGTAACACTAAACAATTAAATTTGTCGACTAGAAAATTAAAAAAAAAACAGGTGATAATAACGCTGACCAAAAATTAAAACTAAAATTAAAAATGCTTTATTGAACAAAAAAAAAACATTTTTCACAAAATTAGTAGGACTCTGTCTCCTGAACTAGTTAAAACTGTGTTTCGGGAGACAGCGTCTTCTCTTATTTATCACTGAAATAGCGAAGTGACCGTTGCCCATAGACATACGCAATTGCAAATGCGTTGCCTACCTTTAATCGACGGAGAAGAGGGCGCACAGAAAGAAAATATTTTCACTTTCCATGCATCCTCTCATCCGGAATGTCCACTTCCACTTCCCATCCTTTCCTTATAAGAAAAAGGGTAGGAAGGGAAAGAGGACTAAATTAAGTCTCCGGGACGCAAAAAGTTATAAAAATATAAATATAGAAAATAACACAAAACAATACAAGACAGCTACAGGAGAAGGATCTTGTGACACTTTGTCACGGAGCACCGGGTCAAATAAGTTTGTCGTACTATAGCTGCAATATCTATTGCGAAGTATAGTCAGTGTCATTGTGCATTCGTCACCGGAGTCGTCAGACAATGGTGGTCGCGGACGAAACGCCCTACATACCCATACCGTTACGGAACAATACTTCTACGTTTTCTAACTAATTATAATTACTAATATAATTGATATTAACTTCATTTAATTTTAATTAAAAATAAATAAAGTCGATCACTTCGAACACTTAATTTCTAAGTGGATTTCTGAGACCAATATATCCGTTTAAAACATATCGTTATCTCTGTTTTGTCAAAGATAATGACAGGGATGACGATATGTTTTATGCGAAATTTTAGGTATCAGAAATCCACCGTAAGTTGAGCAAGTTATGAAATACATCGAGCAAAACGTCCAATGTTCAATATAAACAAGTCGCACGCGCAAACGTAGCGAACATGAATATATATCAATTGGAGAGTCGCTGTCTCTCGAATACCGGTTACAATGCAATAAATGCCTTTATACTTTACTTTTTATATCGTAATCTGATATAACAAACGCAGCAAATTTTTTCCTTTATGATATTACTATCGAACTGGATTTTTATTTATTAAAACGGCTAAAACTTGATTAAATGGTTCCGCTTGAGCGTAGAGACTGGAAACTTACTCATATTTTGTCGATTCTAACAATAATCTTACAAATATTATAAATGCAAATTTTTGGATGGATGGATGGATGGATGGATGTTTGTTTGAAAGTATCGTTAGAACGGCTTAACGAATCTTGTTGAAATTTGGCATAGATGTAGAACATATTCTGGAAGAACACATAGGTTACTAGTATAGGTATAAGAAGTTTTAAAACACTAGAATTAATAGTTACTGAATTCAAAAGATATTCACTATTTCAGCATTAACCTTTATGTAGCCGAAGAATACCTTACGGTACATGATTCGTAATTTCGCCTTAGTACAGGGTCGTTAACCCTTTGCACGCCGTGACGTACAACAACCATGGCATGTATGTCGTTGCCCGTGCAACCGACAAGTTATCGATTCAACACCACTGACCTACCATGTCTTATCCTACAACATAATATGCTTACGTAATATTTATTTCTTAGATATACGAATAATATGCATAACGATAATATGGAACGTCGGTGGCTCAGGGGTCAAGCACTTGACTTGCAATCTGCAGGTCCTGGGTTCGAATCCCGCCATGTACCAATATGTTTTTCGATTTCCGATTTACATATGTACATTTATCCGACGTTATTACGGCGAAGGAAAACATCGTG